ATCATATGAGACAATTTTTAAATGATTTTTTCTTTATAATTTTGTGAACTCAGAAAATTTCTACTCCCCTAGTTTTATTCTTAGTATTTTAAAAGAGATAGCTAAGGATTTAAAAAAAAAAAAAAATCTCCTTATTGAAAAAGAAAAGCTGCAGAACTTAATTAAATTTTAAAGACAATGTCTTTACCACTAGCCCCCCAGAAGTCTAGACTTTCACATAAGCAATGTATGTAATAAACTAGGATTCTCATTCTTTCCAATAACATGTTGTATTTATATTTCAAACATTCCTTATAATAATATTTTATTTCAAATGAAAAACGGATGCATGATGAGTTTCAGTTTGCTATTCAATGGTTGTAACTTTTCTGTTGTCTTGCTTTATAGTCAAAATTAGAAGCAAAGTCTTTTTTAAAAAGTTCAGAATAGTGATGTGATCCTCTAGCTAATCAAAACTATAGCAACGCCGAGATCTCCTGTTGCACTTTTGGCAGTTAGGCCCATGAGAAAATGAGAACGTTAGAACATGAATTAGTATGCTTGCTGTCATGTCTCCACAGCCATGAACAGTCAATTTACTCAGAGTATGAGTCTGAGAGCTCTCCTGTCTACAGAGTAAATGTAGTTCATGGCAAATTGATCTTAATTTATAATGTAGCCCCAGGAGATACACGTGAACCCAGATGCAAATGACTTTAGGGAAATGTCCTTTGTGATGTATTTTGTCTTCCCAAGTTGGAGTTTCAGAGCTTGGGCATGGAGGAAGAGTCCCCCCCACACACCCCTAAACTTATCTTCCTATCATGCAATCATCCAGGGAAAGCTGAAGCTAATTGCTACTCTCTTGAGCTTATTCTTGCTTATATTCAAAAACGAAACGAAAGTCCTTAAAATGTACTTAACTTTCATTTGATGAAAAGCTTTTGGATGAAATGAGTGTGTTTCAAAATATTACTTCCAAATAAAAGTAAAACCAATTTCTGCATTTCTATAAATATACATTTTATTGCTATTTTAAAGAAAAGGACCTTTAGCATAAATTTTTACTGAATCCTTTTATTCGATGAATACTCTGAATGTATATATTCTTAGAATTTAGCCTAGGTACCCTAAAATCTAATTTAGTTCATTCTGAGAGTTTTCTCCAGGCGATTCAAAATGATGAATAATGTCTCCAATCCTAGCTTTATACTTGGAAGCAGGAGGTATCTCGAAGTAAATATGACTAAGAAACATTCATCTGCATATTTATATATCCCACTGGGCACACACCTATGAAAAAACACTTTAAGGTAAAAGGAAAGAGTAATGTATAAAATATGGATGTCAGCACTTTTATGTGCTATCCAACTTCATTGCACCATTGAAATTCATTATTGTTTGCGTTCTGGAAATAAAATGATTTTATAATTCAATGTTGCATATCATAAGAAATACACAATTTTCAAGCTATTTTTTCTAGTTAAGACTTTCTTCAGCTGTCAGTCAAAACTGATTGTACATTTGTCACATTTACAATTTTAAAAAGAAACACACAAAATTAAGTTGTCAAATGGGTTTTTGAGTAATAATTTTGCATAAGTGGATAATGTGTAACAAGTAGTTCTTACTACTAGAAAATTATTTTCTGTTTCAGCCTAATTTATTACTTAGAGGAAACTTATTTCATTTAGAAATGAAAATATAGAATAGAAAATCTGGTTAAACCATTATTTGGATTAAAATAAGATGGCATTAAGAGATTTATGATCTTGGGCAGCTCAAAATGATATGATTGCACACTTGAATCAGTTCTGTTATTATAATCACAACTTGAACTTGGGGGGTCTTAAGTCCGAGAGTATTGTGTAAAATAGTGGAAAAATGATGCTCTGAAAACGTTTTAAACATTTTTATTTATGTATATTTTGGAGACTAATTTTTTTTTTTTAATTTCAGGTTAATGTGAGGGTACAAACCTCTAGGTTATTTCTTTGTTTGTATTTGTATTTGTCAGTACAGTCCCTCTTGTAGTTGTGTCCCACACCCAGGAAGTGTGCTGTTCACCCTTACATTGTGCCCATTAAATGGGAATACACCCATCCCCCTCCCTTCTCCTCTCTCCGTCATTCCCCCTCCCCCCAACTTGAATTGAGTTTTTCTCTTAAGTGGGCATTAAATCATCTACTGGCTTCATATTAGTATTGAGTGCATTAGATACTTGCTTTTCCATTCTCATGATATGTTACTAAGAAGAATGTGTTCCAACTCTGTCCAGGTGAATACAAAAGATGCAAAGTCTCCATCTTTTCATAGCTAAATAGTATTCCATGGTATACATATACCTCAGCTTGTTAGTCCATTCCTGGGTTGATGGGAATTTAGGTTGTGAAGAGAAGGGAATACTTTTACACTGTTTGTGAGACTGCAAACCAACACTGCCTCTTTTCAAACAAGTACAGGGACTCCTCAAAGAACTCAAATTAGACCTCCTGATTTGATCCTGCAATCCTATAATAGGTATCCACCCATAAGACAAAAGGTCATTTTATCATAAGGACATCTTCCCTAGTTTGTTTATCACAGCTCAATTTACAATTGCCAAGATGTGGAAATAACTTAGTATTCTTATATTTATTATATTATTTATGCTAAAATATTAAGCAGTTTACATTGCAGATAAATCTAGTGCCTGGTGTGAGGGGTAAATAATAATTTCAAATGAAAAGGCTATTAAGGCCAATTATAGTAAGAGAAATATTTAGTCAAAAAGCCACATTAATCTACCTACTACCTAATAATATGATTTCAAGAAAAAAAGCCAAACAAATAAATTACCACTGATTTTTTTCATTTTTTTAAAAATAAGTAGTGAAAACAAAAACACAAAGAGTCATCATGGTCAAAATACTAATATGGGACATTTAGTATGTGTTTGTTTATGATTTTGGTCAAGTAGTTCTTAGATATACATATTCAATCCCTCAAGAACAGGATCTCAAGAGCATAGTCATTTCCATAGATCTCTCTAATCAGTGTTGGGCCAACATTTAAAAGCTCCAAGAATAGTTTGAAGCGAGAACAAAAATTTAATGAGAATTTGTAGGACTGCAAAGAAATACCTTGAAGTGATTAGCCAATTTATTTGAACTGCTTTAAAAGTAATAGCTTTCTCAGTATAATATGAATTTAAAATAAATATGATTCTGTGTGGTCTGATAATTAAAGCCAAATCCTGCTATTTGCATATTTATTAAGTTACTTTTCCATTTTTCATTTCAAGGTTTTAAAATATACATTGTAAAGAGTCTTGACTCAATTACATATTTGGTTTAAAATGAAGTAATTTTATAATATCACCCTGGTTCTCTATTTGTTCTTTGTCCTACAAACTCTAATAACTGTATGTATACGTAATATATAATTCATTTATTAATTTATTCTCTTCATTCCAAAATTGTCAAGCCTTGAAAATATATTATTTTTTTTTGCAGTTTTTGGCCAGGGCTGGGTTTGAACCTACCATGTCCAGTATGTGGGGCTGGCGCCCTACTCCTTTGAGCCACAGGCGCCGCCCACATTTTGTTTTATTTACAGCTTTATTGCAAATAACTACCACAATAAATAAGTGAGTAATCTTAAAAATTATATCATCAAGCAGGTAGGATGAACAAAAAGCCATTCATTCTTGAACCAATAGCAGAGCCATGTACCAGACTAGCAGGTGTCCTATTCCTAGACAAATTTCATATATGCATGGGCTTCAAGAAGGGAAAAGAAAACAAACTTAAGTTTGAGTGCTTGACTCTCATGTGGCACTGAGGTAAATAAAATCTTGATAGAGGCCATTTGAAAAAAAAATTAACCTTACCACAGTGTAATACTTCCACATTGAAATTATGCTCTAAGAAGCAAGCAGTATGAGCAATAAAAAGATTTATTTATTTTGTAAGTATTCCCATTAGGAAAAAGATAAGCTTTATATAGAATTTTGCAAGCTGTGGTCACCAGCAGATTGGCTGGATGGAAAAAAAATTTAAAAAGCAGTGGGAAGGAAATAAAAGAAGAAATGGACAAAGGAACTAATGAAAGAGATCATTCCACGTACTCCAAAATGGTATAGAACAAGTAGTAAAAAAGTCATCAATGTCTACATGATACGATTTTAAAATGGTTACATACACATCCGGATATCAGATATTCTCCTATTTGGGTGAATGTATAAGACAGATATCATGTTGTTTCTGGCAATGGATTCTGTTCCTCACTATTCCATACATTATGAAGCTTGACAATAGGGTCTTATGAACAAAAGTCGAGAGAATGCAATCCCAGTGGAATCTAAATTCCTATGTATAGGAAAAATGCAGTAGCAAGGACACTCAAGTTTGGGTGTTAAATTAAATGGGAATGATTTTTTTCCCTTCCTGGCTAGTGATATTGTCACCAGTTATGCTTTCCTTATGGAAAGTTCACATTCATAAGTTTTCAAGAGTTTAGAGTATTTTAGAGAGATGATTAACTTCTAAACATACACAACAAAAGAACAAATATATACATACACAAACTCAATCTTTCTCTCTCTCCCCTCCTCCTCTTTCCCCTTCCCATTCCTGACACAGATCTCAGTTTAATTTAATAAACATTTATTTTCAGTTCAAAGACTTACATTCTCTACCATTCCGGTGTATTGCAAATACAGATACAGGCTATTATATTAAAAGTTAAGTGAGATTTATTCAAATATCAGTAAGTTAAAAGAGCAGCATAAATAATACATGGATTATTAATAATGGGTAAATATTTATCCTCTCTGAGCAGGAGACTGATCTATTTTATTTTATTTAAAATATATTAAAATAGTTTTCTGCCATCCATGAAAAATGCCTCCTTAATTTGATGTCTAAGCTTATCAGAACTAAAAGACTTTTTGGTTGGCTTTTCTCATTAAATATCTAAACTCTGACAATAGAAATTTCAATATATTATTTGTTATTTATTTTTTTTAATGAGTCACCTTTGGGGCGGCCTTAACCTGCTCAAACGTTTATCTCACATAAGCAGTGAGGATTCGAGCATCACCCTAAATCATTATTTTCCTTACTCATAAGTTTAAGGCATTGACAAGAAAAATTTCAAATTCTTGTTTTTAGAGTTCTTCACCATAAGTGATAGCTGAGAACTATTAGGTATTTTGTAACTACTTCCTACAGTAACCTAGTTGCCTCATGAATGATCTAGCTATTATTCCTGCCAGTTCTCCTTTCTCTGTTCCATTTTCTTAAAAAAAAATCTGTGGGATAATTAATAGACTTTTGCTATTTCTGTTCAAATTTATAGTACCATAACAAAAACTAGTATGTGTATATTAAATTATGAATTCTACATATGCACATACATAATCTTAATTTATATATTTTAAAGGATAAAAGCCATACACTGAGGCTCTTTGAAAACTTTGTTCTTTTAATAATTACAGATGCACTTTGTACTGCATGTATTAGTTTGGAATAAGGAAGAACTAAAAAAATCCCCAGAGGGACTACTCAAGAAAGTTAGTCTAAGGCAGAGCACACCACGAGCACGGCCTGCCTTTATATCTGAGTAAGAGGAATCAGACATCTAGCATCAGGCAGAAAGTCAATTAAGACACCACTTCATTTACACTTCTGGATTAAATCCAAGTCTGTAGAAGCACGTACAATTGGTAAATCAAAAGTCTCTCAAATCTCTGTGTTTGTTCTCCTCTCCTTGAAATTGTTTTGGGAGATATCACATCAACAAATCCTTGCAATTATTGACGATGTCATGAAACATTTCTATAATGAATAAATGCCTTTTAAAAATATATATACAGATCTAAAGTTGCTCTTGTGTTTAGACTTATATAACTATATAGAAACATATATGTATAATGTTTAAGTGAAGTAGTGAAGTGCATAAATTGAAATTCTAACTAACTCTATCCCTTTTCACTCCTAATTAATGAAGTGATTCAAATACAAAGACATTTGTTATCAAAAGTAATCATTTTTTTGTTCTTTTGTCAACATCATTTTCATAAAGAGGCTGAGGCAAGAGAATCGCCTAAGCCCAAGAGCTGGAGGTTATTGTCAGCTGTGACGCCACTGTACTCTACCAAGGGCACAAAGTGAGACTCTGTCTCTTAAAAAAAAAAGACATTCTTTGGGTGGAGCCTGTGGCTAAAAGGAGTAGGGTGCTGGCCCCATAGGCTGGAGGTGGTGGGTTTAAAACCAGCCTCAGCCAAAAACTGCAAAAAAAAAAAAAAAAAAAAGAAAGAAAGATAAAAAATATTTTAAAGAAAATTATGAAAATTGTAATACCATATAATTTGAAATTATATGAAAATACACAATTTTTTAAACATGAAGAAGAAATCCATTTTTTGAAAATTAATAGACATTTCATTTGAATATTCAGAATGTTAACATGCAGTGCTATTAAGATGTGCTAGATTTCTTGTCTAACTTTCTGTCTTGTTAGAAAGGACAGCTGGCCTTTTCTCACTTGGGTTTCATAGCTTTAGTCCTTTCTTCGGTGAAAAGATTATAGGAAAAGAAAATAAAATTGTACCTACTACAGAAATATACAATATTTCTATGTTGGAAATAAGGAAAAGAAAATTATAATATAACTCTAGGAAAAATTACATTTCTTTTTGTCAATTTTTTGTTTTATTTTGTGGAATATGGAAACATTTCTAGCTAGAATTCACATATCCCCTTTAGAAATTTTTGCTCATGTCACTGACTCATCAAAGACTGTCTATAATGAGAATTTTTAAGTAGTTTTTTTTGAGTTTTGAGATATTATATATTTCACATATATAAAGTATATAATTTCACCCACTTTACATATGTAAACACCATCAAACTGTCAACACAAATCCAGATAAGGAACAAATTCATCACTCCCAGAAGTTTCCCCATGCCACTGTTAAACTTCTTCTCCCTCCTTCTCCCCTTTGCTCCTTCCTTTCCAAACATTCACTAATCTCCAGTTTCTGTACATGAGTTTGTGATGTCTAGAATTTCATTCTCCTGAGATCAGACAGTATGCACTATTACTTTTGTTTGACTTCATTCACTCACCCTGATTATTTTGAGAATTACCTAGGTTGTTGAATATATTGTTTTGTTTCCTTTTATTAGTCAGTAACATTCCCATGCACTGATATACCTAAATTCATATATTAATAGAAATTTTAGTTGTTGTTAGTTCTATTACAAATAAATCTGATGGGAACATTCACGTACAAATCTTCCCGTGAACATATGCTTTTATTTCTTCGAGGTAAATACTTATGACAGATTGGCATAGTCATGTAATGAGTTTTTGTTTCACAATTGTAAGAAACTGCCAAGCTAATTTCCAAAAAGACTGTGCTGTTTTATTCATTTAAGGAATTCTAATAAATATGTAATGATATCTCATTGTGGTTCTAATTTGGATTTCTTTAACGATGTGGAGTACTTTTTTTGTTGTTATTATTTTTATTGTTTGGGATTCATTGAGGGTACAAAGAATCATGTTACACTGATTGCAGTTGTAAGATAAAGTCCCTCTAAGATGAAATTGTGTACCACCCCCCAGACACGTGCCATACACCCTGACCCAACATCCCCTTCCCACCTCTCCTCTCCCCAATCCCTCATTCCCCTACACTACTTCTTGTATTAGATTATCTACTGCCTTCAGATTAGAATTGAGTATGATGGATTCTTGCTTCTCCATTTTTGTGATGCTTTACTAAGCAGAGTCTATTCCAACCCCATCCAGGTTAATACAAAAGATGTAAAGTCCCCATGTTTTTTAATGGCTGAATAGTATTCCATGGTATACATATACCACAGTTTGTTAATCCATTCCTGGATTGGTGAGAATTTAGGTTGTTTCCACATTTTTGTTATTGTAATCAAAATGTGATAAATAGTCTAGTGCAAAAGTCCTTCTGAGAAAAGACTTTTTTTTTTTCTTCTGGGTAGATGCCTAGTAATGGGATTGCAAGATCAAATAGGAGGTCTAGGTTAAGTTTTTTGAGGACTCTACATACTTCCTTCCAAAAAGGTTGTATTACTTTGCAGTCTCACCAGCAGTGTAAAAGTGTTCCTTTCTCTCCACATCCACGCCAGCATCTGCAACTTTGAGACTTTGTGATGTGGGATCTTCTCCCTAGGGTTAGGTAATATATCTGAATGGTTTTGATTTGCATTTCTCTGATGCTCAGGGGCAAGGAATATTTTTTGAAATGTTTGTTAGCCATTCATCTGTCTTTATCAGAGAAGGTTCTATTCATCTTTTGCCTAGAGATAGATAGGATTGCTTACTCTTTAATCAACAGAAGTAGATTAATTTGAGTTCTATGTAGATTCTAGTTATCAACTCTTTGTCAGATTGATACCCTGAAAATATGTTTTTCCACTGTGAAGGTTGTCTTTTTGCTTTACTTGTTGTGTCTTTAGCTGTGCAAAAACTTTTCAGCTTAATTAAGTCTCATTTGTTAATTTTTGTTGTTGTGATGGCCGCTGAAGTCTTTGTCATGTGCCAATAACAACAAAGTTGAGAAGCAAATCAAGGATACAATTTCCTTCACAGCAGCTTCAAAGAAAATGAAATACTCAGGAATATACCTAACAAAAAAGGTGAAAGATCTTCTCAGAGAGAATTATGAAATCTTAAGAAAAGAAATTGCAGAAGATACTAACAAATGGAAGAACATACCATGCTCTTGGCTGGGAAAAATCAACAGTGTCAAAACGTCTATTCTACCCAAAGCAATCTACAGATTCAATGCAATCCCCATTAAAATACCAACATCATATTTTGAAGAACTGGAAAAAATTGTACTTTGTTTTATATGGAACCAGAAAAAAAAAAACTGCACAGCGAAGGCTATTCTTAGTAATGAAAACAAAGTCAGAGGATCATCCTACCAGACTCCAGGTTATATTGCAAGTCCACGGTAATCAAAACAGCATGTATTGGCACAGAAGTAAAGACATAGACAAATGTAATAGACTAGAAAACCAAGAGATGAAACCAGTCTCCACTTACCATCTGATCTTTGATAAACCATACAAAAGCATACAGTAGGGAAAAAAATGGCTATTCAGCAAATAATGCTCAGAGAACTGGATAACCACATGTAAAAGACTGAAACTTGACCCACACCTTTCACTCCTTAGAAAAATTGACTCAAGATGTATAAGAGACTTAAATCTAAGACACGAAATGATAAAAATCTTAGAGGGAAGTGCAAGTAAAACTCTTGATGTCAGACTGGGAAAAGATTTTAGGACAAAGACTTCAGTGGCCATGGCAACAACAGAAATTTAAAAATGGTACTTAATGAAGCTGGAAAGCTTCTGCACCACTAAGGACACAACCAATAAAGCAAAAAGACAACCTCCAGAATGGACGTTGAGTACTTTCTCATATTCTTATTTTCTACCAGTATACTTTCTGGGGTTGAGTATTTAGTTCTTTTTTTATAATTGGACAATTTTATTATTGCATTTTGAGAGCTCTTTGTATATTCTGAATACAGAATACATTCAGAATAAAAATGTCTCTTATCAGATGTGTTATTTGAAAATAATTCCTCCCAGAGTCTGGTTTGACTTACCTTCTTTAACTTGTCTTATGAGAATACAATTAGAAAGTGGCTTCTCTTATTAACTGTTCCCTGAGTGCACCTGACTCGCACAGTCTTATTAATGATGCGTCCACTGAGCCATAGATATTAACATAACGATATCACGGGGAGAAGTCAAGGTATGTATTCTATGCATCAGTGACCTTGCTCATTGAAAAATTGATGACTCTCAAAATTTAAGAACCTCCATATTTTTACTATTAGCACAGTTAATTGGCAGCAAAGTAAAATTGGGGAGTAATGACCCTTGATGTGAGCCAGAGCCTGGTGCATTGTCAGCTCTCCTAACGATGTATAACTGTGTATTATCCTCTCATGCAGACAAAGGAAGATGGTGCCTGTTGTGTGGATTGTTCAGATGACCAATAGTATAATCTATGAATAAGTACTCAGCACCTATTAGGCGTGTCTTTATATCAGTAAAGCATAATGATGGTAAAATTAA